CACACACACACACACACACACACACACACACACACACACTGTGCCTCTGGTGATGATGATGCTGAGGCTGTGTTCCAGGAGCGCTGATGAAGAGTGTATGGCGTCAGCAGCACATGAGGAGGGGTCTGTGCGCTGCAGAGGGTCCGAGAAGGCTGAAGCAGACCAGCAGACCTGCCATGAGCCTCAGAGAGATTACTGTACGTTCAGAGAGGAGGAGTATGAGGAGGACGAGGATGATGAGGATGAAGGAGAGGAAGCAGCAGAGATCCGGGCTCCACCAGGCAAGCGCGGCCCTCCGTGTGTGAAGCTGCGGGAGTCTCGGAGGAAGAGGAGGTGCACCAGGCCTCATTCCCTGGACCTGGGAGCCCTGCTGTCACACACACCTGCAGCCCGCGGCCAGGTGAGTCTGTAAATGTGCAGTGTGAGCAGTGCAGCCCTCACCCTTACCAGTGTAACTTCAGAGTCTGCGCTCCAATCAGGGTGTAGAGATGGAGCGTGAGGTGGAGGGAGACAGTGGCAGCTCCAGCACTGGAGGAGGCGGAGCCATTGGCTTCTGGCAGCATGTGGAGGTGGGGCTCCGGGAGCAGGCGGAGCGTCTCCGTGGTGACCTCGCTGTGAGTCGTCAGGAGAATCGGGAGCTGCAGGAGAGACTGATGGTGTCAGAGGCGACGGTTCACGCACAGGCCGAACAGATCAAAGACTACAGAGAGCTGCTGAGTGAGGACACACACACACACACACTGTCCACTGACTGCATTCTGAGAGACACACACTACTGCTATTTGAACCACTATACTATACTGACCACTGTACTGACCTGTATACTAACCCTGCTATACTGACCCCGCTATACTGACCTCTATATTGACCCCGCTATACTGACCTCTATATTGACCCCGCTATACTGGCCCCGCTATACTGACCTCTATAGTGACCCCGCTATACTGGCCTCTATACTGACCCCACTATACTGTCATGTGCACTGACCACCGCTATACTGTTGTCTATACTGACTACTATGCTGTCCTCTATACTGTCCTCTATGCTGACCTTTATACTGACCACTATACTGGCCAATATACTGCCCTTTATACTGGCCACTATATTGACCTCTATACTGACCCCACTCTACTGGCCCTGCTATACTGTCTTCTATACTAACCCCCGCTATACTGGCCTCTATACTGGTCGCTATACTGACCTCTATACTGACCCCGTTATACTGTAATCTACACTGACCACCGATATACTGTCATCTATACTGACCACTATACTGACCTCTATATTGACCTCTATACTGTCTTCTATACTGACCTCTATACTTACCTCTATACTGACCCCGCTATACTATCGTCTATACTGACCTCTATACTGTCCTCTATATTGACCTCTATACTGACTCTGCTATACTGGCCTCTATACTGACCTCTATACTGACCCCGCTATACTGACCTCTATACTGACCTCTATACTGGCCCCGCTATACTGACCCTGCTATACTGACCTCTATACTGACCCCGCTATTCTGACCTCTATACTGACCCAGCTATACTGATCTCTATACTGACCTCTATACTGACCCTGCTATTCTGACCTCTATACTGACCCCGCTATACTGTTCTCTATACTGACCTCTATACTGACCCCGCTATACTAACCCTGCTATACTGACCTCCATAGTGACCCCGCTATTCTGACTTCTATACTGACCCCGCTATACTGATCTCTATACTGACTCCGCTATACTGACTGCTATACTGTTCTCTATACTGACCTCTATACTGATCACTATTCTGTCCTCTATATTGACCTCTTTACCGACCCCACTATACTGGCCTCTATACTGGCTTCTATACTGACCTCTATACTGACCTCTATACTGGCCTCTTTACTGACCGCTATATTGATCCTGCTTTACTGTCCTCTATACTGACCCCACTATACTGACCCTGCTATACTGTCCTCTATACTGACCGCGCTATACTGACCTCTATATTGACCCCGCTATACTGACCTCTATACTGACCCCGCTATACTGGCCCCGCTATACTGACCTCTATACTGGCCGCTATACTGACCCCGCTCTACTGGCCGCTATACTGACCCCGCTCTACTGGCCTCGCTATACTGACCACCGATATACTGTCAACTATACTGACCACTATACTTACCTCTACATTGACCTCTATATCGACCCCGCTATACTGACCACTATATTGATCCCGCTATACTGACCTCTATGCTGACCCCGCTATACTGACCCTGCTATACTGACGTCTATACTGACCGCTATACTGACCTCTATACTGGCCTCTATACTAAACGCTATATTGATCTCGCTATACTGACCTCTATACTGACCCCACTATACTGACCTCTTTACTGACCCCGCTATACTGACCTCTATACCGACCTCTATACTGACCTCTATACTGACCCTGCTATACTGACCTCTATACCGACCTCTATACTGACCGCTATACTGTCCTCTTTACTGACCTCTATACTGACCTCTATACTGACCCTGCCATACTGACCTCTATACTCACTGCTATACTTTTCTCTATACTGACCTATATACTGACCACTATACTGTCCTCTATATTGACCTCTATACCGACCCCGCTATACTGGCCTCTATACTGGCCTCTATACTGACTCTATACTTTTCTCTATACTGACCTCTATACTGGCCTTTATACTGGCTGCTATATTGATCCTGCTATACTGACGTCTATACTGACCCCGCTATACTGACCCTGCTATACTGACCCCGCTATACTGACCCTGCTATACTGGCCTCTATACTGGCCTCTATACTGACCGCTATATTGATCCTGCTATACTGACCTTTATACTGACCCCGCTATACTGACCCTGCTATACTGACCCCACTATACTGACCCTGCTATACTGTCCTTTATACTGACCCCGCTATACTGACCCCGCTATACTGACCCTGTTATACTGTCCTCTATACTGTCCTCTATACTGACCCTGCTATACTGTCCTCTATACTGACCGTGCTATACTGTCCTCTATACTGACCCCGCTATACTGACCCTGCTATACTGGCCTCTATACTGACTGCTATACTGACCCTGCTATACTGTCCTCTATACTGACCCCGCTATACTGACCCTGCTATACTGGCCTCTATACTGACTGCTATACTGACCCTGCTATACTAACCCTGCTATACTGGCCTCTATACTGACCCTGCTATACTGGCCTCTATACTGACCCTGCTATACTGTCCTCTATACTGACTGTTGTACTGACCGCTGTTGTCTCTGTCAGCGGAGAGTGCGGTTCAGCAGGACAGTAAGCAGGTGCAGGTGGACCTTCAGGATCTGGGATACGAGACAAGCGGCCGCAGTGAGAATGAAGCCGAGAGAGAGGACACCAGCAGCCCCGGTACACACACACTAAACACACAGGAACACACCACACACACACACACACACACACCAAACACAAGTCAACACGCCACACACACACCAAACACAAGTCAACACGCCACACACACACCAAACACAAGTGAACACGCCACACACACACACACACCAAACACAAGTGAACACGCCACACACACACCAAACACAAGTCAACATGCCACACATACACCAAACACAAGTGAACACGCCACACACACACCAAACACAAGTCAACACGCCACACACACACCAAACACAAGTGAACACGCCACACACACACCAAACACAAGTCAACACGCCACACACACACCAAACACAAGTGAACACACACTGTACCGTATCTCTCTGCAGGCCTGTGTCTGCGCAGCCGTTCCTCATGTGTGTGTGTGTGTCTGTTTGTCAGAGTTTGATGATCTGGAGATGTGTGTGACGCTGTCGGGGAGCAGACGCAGTGTGTGTCGCAGTGACAGTGAAGCAGACGACGCGTCCTCACTGAAGGGTTTGGTGCAGGACCTGCGTGCGCAGCTCTCTCGCAGCCACAAGGTGATCCGCGGCCTGCAGCTGCGCGTGCGCTCACTCTCCGCCACCTCCGACTACGCCTCCAGC